ACCAATGCAACTTGCTCCCCCCTGAAACCCTCTTCTACGTTTTTCTTGATGATGACATGATCCCCAATGACATGGTCACCGAACACTTCAGTTTCGATTCTCTTCTGACCACCTTTCTTTCGTGCCTGAGGTGCCATCATCCTTGCTCGTTGGCAGGTTCTGCAAAAGGGGTTCTTGGGGAAATGCGTGTACTGATGTTGGGTACTTGCAGCTTCAGCCAACAGATCCTCAGTCTTGCGGCTTCGGATGTACTCCTGCTGAGCGTCATCCTCCACCAGCTCATCCAATTGCTCTTCATCTTGGGCTTCGTCCCGTTTGGCTTTTGAGCTCGACCGTGAGGTCGGCATTGCAAACAACTTTCTGAGGTGCTTATCCTTTTGAAATTGATCTTTGGGATAAACCTTGCAACTATCATCCAAAACTGGGACATGACCTTCGATCTTGAGCTGGACGACCTTGTCATCTGGACGGACTAGGATTGGTTTGCCATTGGCAGGCCATACGAAACTGTAACCCTGATCTACACATCTCGTTCCTACGGAGAGCACAGCTGGGGTATGATCAAGTACATACGGATGCACGGGATCTGGCAATGCGGACAACTTGACATCAGCAACCTCGTTTGCCTCGGTCGAACCATTGGCTGTGACTAAGGAAATCGGATGCTCGGCTGCACGGCAGTTCTTGGCACTGACATCCCTCAGCATTCCTTTGGACACAAGATCGGATTCACTACCTGAGTCGACAAGCCAACTAACGCCGGCCTTTGGCGCAGCTGTGGCAATTGACGGGAAACGACCAATGTCTCTAAGAGCTTTGGGACCGCTGACGAACCTGCACTCTTTGCATGTGATGTCACGTGTGTCCTCATTCCAACAGCAAAACCCACAACTAGGTGCAACATTTGAATCATGATGTTTCACCGTTTCTTGAAGCTGTCTAGCACGAACCTGAGCCTCATGCTGTTCAACCTTGGATGAAACCGGAACATCTTCAGCTGTCTTGTACACCTTAGTGAACTCTCTTGGACGGTGCTTGACTGGGACTTGACGACCAACTGCTTTCACCTCGATCACATGTGGGGCCTTTCGGAATCTAAGGCGCTTCATGCTGACACTTGACTCATCAGAGCACGAAGTTGCCTTCGGCTGTTTTCGGACGATGCATGCAAACTTCTGGATCAGGCATGGAGCGGCTGTTGAATCCTTGCTCTTCTTCTTGGGAGCGGGTGAATTGGCCCTTTTGGTGTCTTTGGTGGCGGCAGCAGCTTTGTCATCATGCTTATAAAAACATTTGTCACCACGTCTGCACTTTCCCTGGGCATGATAGATACATGGGGTTTTGGCCATTTCTTCCTTGGACATCTTCTTCCCCTTATCATCTTTATTGCCCTTTGATGGTGAACGTGTTTTGGTTCTTCTGGGTGATTGAGTTCGAGATTTATCATCTTTGACATGCTTGAATGGACACTTCTTCCCCTTATCACAGGTACCCTTTTGGAACTTATAGCAAATCTTGTCACCTTTGCCACCTCGTTCCTGCGATCTACCGCGACTCGGAGAGCCCTTTCGGCCACCGCGACCATCGCCTTTGGCAGGTGCGGCCTTTGTGTCCTTGATCCCAGCCTTGTTCTTCTCCGCGATGCGGTTCCTGTTCTCCCTCAATCGTTCACGATCGATCAAGTTCTTCATGGATTGGTGAAGAAAACTATAAGACTTTTCATGGGATTTCTCATGAGCACGGTCAAACATCTCAATGTCATACTTCAGCAACTGACTTGGTCGGATCTGCCTCAACAAGATGTCCCTTAACACAGCATCATCAGGGGTGACAGCCATGCCAGCTAGGGTAGCATCTTCCCTGGACAGTATCGCCTACTTTGACAACACCCAAAAGATCTTCTACTCTGTAAAGGCTACCTGCTTCTTCTGATGTCTTGAAGTAGTCCTCAAACATGAGCAGAACATACCTTCCCCTGACCTGGATGCCTTTTCGGGATTGCTGCTCCTTGAAATTCAAGATCCTAGTTGCGAGGTCCCCTCCGGCTGAGCGCGTGAGCGCTGCTGATAACTTTGTATCCAGCGTGAGGAACTTTCCAGGATCTTGGAGTTTCTTCTCCAACTGCTCTCTGGTGCACTCTTGATCGTACACCTCATTGAGCCAGAGCCACGCCTCATCCGGGCGATCTGAACAGCTTTTCACTTCATCCCTGACATGATTCTTCCAAGTCCTATACGACTCCGGAGCGGGCATGTTGTTCAGCTTGATGAGTTCGGCCTCCTTAGTTTTTGGCTTATCCTTTTCTTCCCTTTGGGTTAAGGCTTTCACCAATTCAATAAGATCTGAGGGACCCATCACTTGCTGTTGCTTGGTTACGCTCTTAGGGGAGTCATTTGGGGGAGTTTTGATAGCTTCAGTGGGAGTGAAAAACCCTGACTGCGTTGGCAATTGGGGCTGGTCGTTGCCGACAGCCGGCTTTTGCTTGGGACTGCCACCTTTGAGCAGCTCATCCAACTTGGCCTTTGCTTCTTGTGCCAACACTGCAGGCGTTTTCAACTCATGAATCGGCTCATCACTGCCTCTGGCAGCCTGTGCATCGGATGCTTTGGGAGTGGCAATATTGAAGTGGGGCACGCTAGTGGTAGCGGCCAGCTCGGCATTCAGGACGGATGCTTTCGGAACGGAGGCATGCTGCGCTTTGGCAACATGCTTTAACTGCTCCTGAAGGTCATCGATTTGGTCCTGAAGGCTAAGGTTCTGAGCCGCTGCCTCGTTGATCTTGTCGGCCATCTCCTTCTTGTAGTTCTCGAATTCGGTCCTCAAACTGATGAACCTGGCCTGATCAATTGCAGCCTGATCTTCATATTGCTTCTTTGTGGCAGCTATGGCATTCTTTGCATGTTCAACTGTCTGTGCATAGGAAGCTTCGAATTCACTAGTGATACGTTGCCTTTCCTCTGCAATTTTCTGATCATGCTTTGTGTTTGCCTCTGCCTTTACATCCTCTATTCTTTTGTCATTGCGATGCCTGAGCCTGATTCAACCTGACCTCCATCTCATCGCCTCGTTTCCTCTCCTCGTTGACGGCACTAATGGCCTTACCTTCAACCTCCTGCAGCCTTTGCTCATACTCCTGCTCTTGCATTACGAGTCTACTTGACCATTCGTTTCGAATTGAGTCAACTACTCCATGCATTATCTGAAGGTGCCTCTGTTCAGCTTCCCTCATGACTTGCAGGGTATTCCCACTAGTAATCTGGGACAGGTTGTTTTGTATGAAGGTAAAGTACGCGACAACAGGTTGGAACATTGTTTCGTCATCCATCGGCTCGGGGTTGCCCCCGGCCATGTTGGGCACGGCGACAGCCGATGGACCTGACCCTGGAACGGCGAGAGGATGGTCAATTGGGGTCCCCATAGCAAAGTAGTGAAACTACGGCTGATAACCTGTATTTTACCAGGTCAACCGAGTATGGGGTGAAATACACAACAAACCGCTAAGCAGCTAGCTCTGTTTTGAACCAACGCTACAGAGTAGTACGATGACATATATAATACATGGTTTTACTGCAGGAGTTTTTACAGCTTCAAAACTTAATATATGAATATTAAGATATGATGCGCGGGTGACTTGGGACCTTGCGGTCGCTTTAGCCTAGTGTTTTTGCGCATGGCATGGGATTTGTGTATCATTTTAGCTATGTCTTAAATGCACATGACATGGGAGTCATGCGCTTGCCTAACGGTCCTAACGGGCATGTCATGGGAAAATTTGAGAAGAATCTTGGGACTTCCAGGAAAAACATCTGCGTAGAACGCTGCTTTGAATTGTTCTCAAGAGTCGGGTGGGGAGGGTTTGGGAAGCTTCAAAGTGAAGCATGGGGTGGGGTTGTTTGGGCTGCCCATGTTTCCAAAGAATGGGGTGGGAAGGGTTTAGGAAGTGTCAAAACAAATCATGAAAAGGGATTTGGGTGCTTCATGGTTCCCAAGAGTGGGGTGGGAAGGGTTTGGGAAGGCTCAAAATAAAGCATGGGAGGGGTTTGGATGGTTTAGGAAGGGTCAAAACCAACCATGAAAAGGGGTTGGATGTTTCATGGTTTCTGTTTCCAAGAGTGGGGTGAGAAGGGTTTGGCGGCAGTTCAATGCGCACCTCAACAACAACTTCTTGTTGTTGAGGTGCGGTGGGAAGAGGAATTTACCACATGAAATGGGACTTCCAAGGCGGGAATGATAGGTAACGGTACCGAGGAAGGCTCAAAATGAAGCATGGGGAGGGGTTTGGGCTGCCATAGGGTCAAAACGAACCATGAAAAGTGGTTTTGGTTTTCAAGGTTCCCAAGGGTGATGATAGAAGCCAAATAATAATTCCCGTATCATATGACAATGTTTCTACCTGGTGACACCAATTCTTGAACCCATGGCCCGATATATCAACCACCCATCAGACAAGATGGATGGATAGCATCCCCCTCATACTAACATCCCTTCTGCATGGGACACCCAAACGAACAAATCTACCATTGCAAACGGATGTACAGGGTCTAAGGATAAGTTTATGCTAAGGTGCTTGGGTCTACAATACTTCGGGGCGAGTCTTTGGACGGATCTGTGAAATTTGACTGCATCCTACTGCCCATAGAGCTCGAAGAAAGATTATTTAAGGACGATGTTGGCTCTGTTCAACCCACGTAGAGTCCTTGCCGATGAGAATCACTGTGACTAAAATGCACACACGCATAATTTCCCCTTCCTACCAAAAAAATCATGTTTTTGCCACAAGGCCATGGCTAACCTAAGCAATTCTTGAATCAGATCTTGACTTCCTAAGACTTCCCCCCATTTCGAGCTACAAAATCAATTCATATCAAATTATACTCTCCCATCAGCTCAATCTTTCCCAAGAATTCACGGAGGTTGACCATGGTTCACCCAGCTGGCCGCCGTCTTCTGTGAAAAAAACCCGGAGGATCACCCTGGTAATCACCATGGAGCCCAGTCACAACTTCGCTTCGGAACTCCAGCGTTCCGCAGCGGAATAGGCACAGCCTGCTCTCCAGCGCATCAGGGCAACCTGCCAGGTGAATCTTCCGGCGTGGCACCCGGCAGGGCATGAGGTATTTGAAAAAAGATGCAGAAAGGGCATCTTCAAGTTCGTTATGAAATATGTTGAATGGATCCGAACCATGAATCCTCATGTTTCTTTAAGGTAACTGTTCAACAGTTGCAGCATGCGAAAAAATACAGTGATCTAGGGCACTACCGGGCTGTCCCATGGCACGCCTTCAAGGCAAGTCTTCCGTTTGCGTCATTGAGGCCTCAGTGGCCAAAGCAGCGATTCGTTGCGGTTCATGCTGCTTTTGGGCAAGCAATCACTGGTTTCTTAGGAACACTCCTACCGCGGCCTTCACATGCGTTCACCTGGTTTCCTGATGCAACAAACATCATCAAGAAAAATGATATGGTTATTCGAATTCTTGTCACTTTTTGAGGGCACTTGTGAAGTCACTTGTGTCACTATAGCCGGTGTCATTTTGTCTCTTGCTCTGGCATGCTCCGGCCCATTGAGGCCCCAAGCGCGACCAAAACTTCAAATTCTTTTGGCGAATGTTGCTGCGCATGCTTTGGCACATGTCCTTAGAATGATCCCTGGAGATTGCCGGGTCAAGTTGGAAATACCGGAGCTATCCGGAGGTGGAAATGTTTACTTTTTGTTCATTTGGATCCCACATTCTTGTGCTGAAGTTCTGGAAGGATCAGATGCAATCCTGTGTTCCTCGCGTTCCCAGGCAAGTGCGATATCACCAGGATAGGAAATACATATAAATACAATCCTACTGAAACATATGCTATTCGGCCATGCATGTTCCCGTGGCAAGCAATTTGGAGTTGTCACTGCGGAAAGAATGATTTTACTCGAGCCGGCGGGCCGGTGGCAAGATTTCCTGATAACCTACTCTTGACAGAGGTTTGGAGTGGCTTACTCACTTGTTCTTGAGAGGGTATGGAGGAAAAAGAGCACACACGCAGCACAAGCGCAGCACAAGTTGGACAAAATGCATATCAATGGCAGGGCCATGACTACGTGACAGTCTTTTCGGAAGCAACAGTAAGCAACCTTTAGACTCCCCAAGGGCACCAGCCAAACAGCGCCAGGCGATCAAACGCTCCAAGGCACTTCGCTGTGTTCCTGCCAGCTTCTGTTCCGAGACCTGCGAGGTGTGCTGGGGACTTTCGGAGGTTCCTGCTGAATATGTAAGTAGGTCGAGGATTTGTCTGTATATGTACCTAAATATTACATATACATAATATATATAATTATATATATATATATACATATCCAGATATACTTGCAAAGATCCATGTCAATACTTCTGTTTCGCCCCGTCTTGTTCCGGAGATTGAATCCATCTGGTAGGTTGAGCCATCTAGTCAATTGATGGGGGTCATTTAGAATATGCCCCTAACATCTCGGCACAGGAGCCAAATATGTCTCTTTGACATTCTTTGACAACGCTTGGGCAGGTTCAGAGACCAAGCACTCAATGACTTGAAAGACACCTGGAGGCCAGATCGCTTCAATTTGTGACTTTAGATCCTTGAGTGGCAGTCAGCGTAGAGAAACGGCTGACTAGCCTGGGTGATCAAACATGCCCACAGCAATCGAAAACATCACCTATTTATAGATTATAGATGATGTTCCTATAAAAAAAAAAATAGTGCAGGGATTTCCCAGCTAACCATGTTTGAGTCATCCGTAGCTTTTAGATGCTTCAAAGATTTCAAAGGGTGAAGAAAGGATGGCAGAAGAAGCTACGGCCTGGATCAATTCGTAGACCATCCTCCTTTCACCATGGCTATGGGTGGCAAATTCGTGTATTTCTCCCCGCTCTGGATCCAACATGATCCTGACGATCATCGCACGGTGAACCCGACCAGACCCACCTTGCCACGGAGAAACGCCAAGCGAGGAAAGCAGCAGCCATCTTCACTTCTGATGATCTCGCTTCTGCCTTGGACTGTTGACTTCGTTTTGTCTGAGAAATCAAAAAAGGGAATCCAGGAAATCACACGCAAACCAAGCACTGCCAACTTCTGGGCGATGAATTCTGCTGATCAGCTGACTGACTCGAATAAGTTCCGGTCGGACCATTTTAGTAGAGTTCCACATGCAAACACCATCTTAGATCTGATGTGAGGGTGTCCCGGAGTCATTTTGGACACTGGCACTCAAGGTGCGCAACTGAATTCCCATGCAAAGCGTTTTGTCCATAAATCCCTTACAGATAAACTCTGCCAAAAATGCACCAGCACGCACGCAATCGGACACACTGTATATAAATATAAATATAAATAAATTAATGTGTATAATATCTAAATTATATATAAATATGTGTGAGTGAATGTATGCCTTGTTTTTTTTAACATATATACATATAATATCATATAATACATTTAACTTTCCTTTTTCCCTCTCTCTCTCTATATATCTACATGTATATTTAAATCATTTAAATCCCCATCCATATCTTCTAAAACATCTCTGCCCTCAGCGCCCAAGCCACACTGTGCAGATACGCTTTGACCTTCTCCACTTCCACCAGGCGCCCAGTTGTTGTGACCTCACCCGCCGTCGCTGCCATCGCCCGCAGCTCCTTCAAGGCCCAGCGATCTGCGCAGCTGCGGGCGCGGTGCCACTGGAAGAAGGCGGCCTGCAACTGAAAGGCCTGACGTTGGGCCAGATGGGCCATGGCGGCCGTGGCCTGGAAGTTAGCTTGGGGGTCGGGTAGTGAAATTTGGGGGGATTTACCATATGGAAACATCTTAGATACCATGCTAGAAATTGTTTTTGGAGCTGGTTAGGAGTTGAGATACATCACTATTTATAGCGAAAGAGTAGTAAGTGGGGGCCATGGCCAAGAAACTTGGGGGTTGACCACTGGAAATTCGGGATTTACCATGAATAAGTGGGGGTTCAATGTTTCTTGGCATGAATGATGCCTACTTGGTGCTATCATCCTAGGCTTGGGAAGTCACACCCACGGCCAGGCAGCCGGACACAGTTAGGGACTTTGAATCCGTGTTCCGAAATTCCCCATTGATGACTCAAACTTACCCAGTAAAAAAACGAACAATACCACCAAAGTGAGGCCGGCTTTATAGCTAAATTGGCTTAAAACTTGGTTACCTATGGTTTATGGATATAAATACAAGTTAATGGAAGTTATGAACCAACTTATAACTCCGGAGCCTCACCTTGTACATTGCCATTTCAGGAACCTAAATCGGAGGTACCTACCATATATAAGGCCTATTTTTTAGGGCTAAATTTCAGGGATTCTCCCCACAAGTTCTATGGCCAGAAATATGGTACTAACGTACCTCCGTTTTAGGATCCTGAAATTCCAAGAAAACTATGGATGTTAGTTTAATTTAGTTTACTACCCAAGAAAACTATGGTACTATGATCCTGTACTATGGTAAACTATGGGAAACTATGTTACATGTAACATGCCCAACTGGCTGGTTTACCCACTACCACGGGTGAACGGGCCCAACAGGAGCCAACAGGCTGGGCGCCTGCCGGCATGGCCAATGCATCTGCTGTGCCTGGGCGGCGAATGAAGCAAAGTTGGCGCTTGGAACCAAGTTGAACCATATTAGCAATATGAGATATTAGCAATATTACGTGTATATGTATATATAATATATATATATGTTTAAATAAAATTAAATGATAATGTATATATAAATATATTTATGTATATAAAATATTAAATAAATAAACAAATAAATAAATAAATAAATATATACATATCCTATATATTCATTGGATTGGTTCGAGGGAAAATCTTAACCGGAAACTGGTTGGTTTTTACCATAATAGGGGTAAAGTTCAGATAAAGCCTGTAAATTGTCCCTAAAACCAATCCAATGATACGGCAATGGCGGTCAAACCAAGTTGAACCTCGCTGCGTATTTCAATTGCACCCCCGTGTCTCACTTTTAATTGGTTTTATATATGTTTTAATCATGTTTAGTCATTTTAAATCTAACTATTTTTAACCATTCCTCCGGGCAAATTAATGCTGTTGTCAAATTCGAAATGAATCAATTTTGGGATGATTCCCACAATCCTACGGCATCATCTATGATGAGGTTAGCCACATAGGTCGCTGTAAATCTGCCCAGGTTTCTGTTAATTCTGAAATGCTCCCCTTTTGGTAGGTTTTAGCAACCCAAACAAAGGTGCAGAACAGTAAATCCCTACTAAAATATTAGTAAACTATGCATTCTTCTATTTTTCGTGGGGTTTTTGGGTTTGCTCATCTCGGTGGGTTAAACCTCATCGTTTAACCTGTTGTGTTGCTGCCCAGGGTGCGCACGAAGCCGCTCTCCGGCTGTGCAGCCGGTTGCTCGCAAAGCGTTGCCATCGCTGAAAGCTCGCCTTGGGGTCCCGATATTGGGGGAGATAGATCAGATAAATCTCAAGACATTCCACACACACACACACACCTATATATATATGTATGTATATTATACCGCATTTACACGCATATATATATATATATCTGAATAATTATTCTTATCCAGTAGTATGTATACCTCTCTCTCTCTCTCTCTCTCGCTCTCGCTCGCTATATGGGTGCGAGTCAAAAATCGGGTATGGATCGCTCCGCGGTGATCCGTACTATGGATCGGGAGTGCTTACGTAAGGTGCCTGATCCGTACCCTTTTGTAAGGGCTCATCATAGCAAACAAACTGTGCTGATACTCCTAATATCTCCTGCTTGCTATTACTTCTCCTCCTGCTACTGTTGCTGATAAAACTGCTACCACTGCTAGTAGAGGGAGCAGTAAACAAAACCAGCACCAGCAGCAGTAGTGGCAATAGAAGGAGGAGATGCAGTAGCAGTAGAAATAGCAGTAGCAGTACCAGTACTAGTAAAAGTCATAGTAATCTAATGGAAGTAGCAGCGGCAGCTGCAGTTGTACTAGGAGTAGGAGTAGGAATAGGAATAATAGTAGTAGTAGTCGTAGTCGTAGTCGTAGTCGTCGTAGTAGTCGTAGTCGTAGTCGTAGTCGTAGTCGTAGTCGTAGTAGTAGTAGTAGTAGAAGTAGAAGTAGAAGTATAAGTATAAATAGAAGTAGAAGTAGAAGCAGAAGCAGCAGCAGCAGCAGTAGAAGTAGTAATAGAATCGGACTTTCATATTGGCATTTGTTGTGGCGTGACTGGGTTCGGGTATGGATCGGGTATGGAACGGGTATGGATCGGGGTATGGATCGGGACACGCTATCTGGGCCGACTTTCCCGCTATGGCCGTGAAGGAACTGAGCGGGGTATTTCTAGTCTGGTCTAGTTCTACACGTGCCAGGCAAAGCAGAAACAGAAGGAATTGTAATCATAGCGCCATTATAGAAGTACAAGAAGCACCTAGTGGAACTAGAACCGGTCTTACTAGCGTCCAAGGTGCACGTGCAGTATTGCTAGTAGCTAGTCAACTAGTTGCATTTGTCCAACTACCACAAGCACACGGAGGAAGTGAATCAGCACCAGCAGCGGGAGCAAGACCAGCAGGAGCAGCAGCAGAAGCGACAGCAGTAGCAGCAGCTCCTGGGAGGAAGATGACTAGTAGACTAGTAGTGGCAGCAGCAGCAGCAGCAGCAGCAGCACGCGGAGGCAGCGGAGGCAGCAGAGGCAGCAGTAGAAACAACGGTAGTAGCAACGGGAGTAGCAGTACGAGGACAAGAAGCAGTATTAGGTAAAAAGCAGCATTAGGGCCAGCATCAGTCTTTCTTCAACGAGAAAGGGTACGGATCAGGGGTATGGATCAGGGGTATGGATCAAGGGTATGGATCATGCAGTATCATGGGGTATGGATCAAGGTATGGATCGGGGGGTATGGATCGTGTGTGGGTCCGGGGCCTTGATCCATACCTTGTATTTTGACTCGTACCCATATATAAATATGCACCAGCATATTCACATATCTTGTTACATGTATGATAATTACTACCCATGTTTGGCAACACTGACCAGCAAGCCGCCCAAGACTTGAGAACTTGCTGCGACCCAGATACGGAGAGGCTAGCCTGGCCGGAAGAATGTCTCAGATGAGAGGAATCGGTAGGCTAACCATGGGATGCTGCACAAATAGATGGCAAAAATAAAAGGCACACTGAACATCAATGAATTTCAACATAGGCTATGTAGTTTTTGTTTTCATCGATCAGTCAATCAAAAAATCAATCAATCAATCAATCAATCAGTCAATCAATCAATCAATCAATCAGTCGGATCGAATCGAATCAAATCATTTTGGGATTTCTCACCCCCTGGTGCTTCCACCTGCGCAGCGGCCCTGCTGCTGACGTGATCACTTCGTTCCAGCACTTGCTGCACGGAGGTCACAGATGCCTTGAGGCTCTCGGTCTTCTGCTGCTCCTTTTTGGCAGGGATGAACACAACACTTGAGCAGTTGGGCTTATTAATAAGTATAACTATGGTCAATGGGAATTCCAGGATCCTTACATAGGCCTTATATATGGTAGGTACCTCCAATTTGGGTACCTGAAATGGCCACTTTCTTCTGGGATTTAGCCCACCAGAAGTGGAACTGCACCCCCAATGATGCCAATGGGCTACAAGTTCGATTATCGGCACCTAAGATGCAGTGATTTCGTTTCATCTCACCCATGTCACCTAGGAAGTCATCCCAGTGGCTATGGATTTCTGTCGCCCAGTGAACCTGGGACCTGATGGTGTCGATCTTCCCAAAAAGACTTCGATCACGGGAGTTCCACTCGGGATCTATCCAGACAGAATGTCAGTATACGGCCATCCTGTACACAAATCTGCTATAGCAAACAATGACCAAATTTCAAAGCGAACGGAACGACCCTGGCCGGGGTGGTGCTTAACTGATAAACCCAACCATCCTTTTCAGAACGTTGGGTGGAGACAGAAAGAACATCTATGGCTGAAATTACATTGTAAAAACACCCAACGCTATCGCTACTGGAAAGTAAAGAAGTCACATTTTCAAAAGACAACAATTCAATACAATTCACATGATATCACATGATTCATGATCCTTGAGCTGCATGTATGCTTTGTGATGGTACCTGAGCAGTAGTCGACATTATTTCAAATGTCGCGGTGTTCTGCAGCCTCTGTGAACTTGGAAGCTGGGTACTACGAAAATTCCCAGTTCCAAGACTATTGCAACAGGGCGTTGGCTTCTGTGCCTTGCTTTGCAGCTGTTCATATATGGTGCACTGCTTGTAGTTCAACATGAAACGAAATGCACGACATGGGTTTGGATGGTTTTCTACACTGAGCCAGACACAACATCCGGCCGCGGACATTACCCTCTGGTAAACTGCAACACAACTATGGAAATTCACCATGCTATTAATAGGTAAATCAACTATTTCAATGGCCATTTTCAATAGCTTTTTGTATGCTTTTTCAATAGCTATGTTTGCTTACCAGAGGGTAGTTGGTTTATGTTGGTTTGTAACTTCATTCAGCAGATATGTCCACCACGAATCCTGCCCATTCATCCCGGGTCCGTCCGGTCGGAAAACCCGCGCCTCATGGAGGGCTGCTTCGCAGTCCTTCAGCTCTTGTCCTCCTGCGGGATCCCTGGTCATACTGAGTCATATGGTGTCACACCAAAAAAAAACATTGGTAGTAATATGTAGTAATACAATGGGCTACAAATAATGACTCAGTGGATCTCATTGGTGGTTTCTATAATTGAAACCACTTCTATGATTGAAATGGGTATGAAACCACGAGCCAGATTATGTATAGAGACACATGTGTAAAAGCAGTTGGATCCAGTTAGATGGGAATTGTGACCTAGGCATCCAGTCTCAGTTCCTGATCTGCCGTTAACAACAGGCTGTCTGTGGGCATACCATGTTAAACAAATAGGAATTGAAGCGTCACGGCATCATCCCCATGCAATTGCGATGTGGATGTTTCCGAAAATTGGGCGACTCCAATTCACCATTGGATTCCTCGTTGAACGCGATCATGTTTGCATGATACTGGGGCCCCCCAGTTTAAGATTTCCCATACAGTGAGATATTCCAGCGGTGTTGAAACAAGCCCATGGGGTCTGTGGGGTCTGTATAATTCCTCGGAGAGTTCTTATGAAGCTCAAGGGTGGTCATTTCCTGTGCCGCACCTCATCTTCCAAAGATACCCTCTGGTTATTCAGCATCGCTATGGAAGCCATGGCTCATTTGTTGATGAAAATGATGACTTAAACGGAAACGTGTTGATTTTCTTGAATTTGCTTAAGGGGTCTCCAAACCTTTAAAACATAATATTATATATTCCATCGTATTCCTATATATTTATTCCCCATAGATTTCCCAAGTACAAGTAGTAGATTTTTCAACTACAACATCACCTTAACCAACCCAATGGGTTTTCCATAACCGTTGAATAACCAGGTGACCAGAAAGGCATATCGGCATATGGTACAAGTCATCTTCCGTCATCTTGATCTCTTCGGTTCGGGGGCCTAGGGGGGACCAGCCAAGTCTCGTTGGAACAAGCTTTCATGGCGTTGCCGGAAGCGTTCCCACAACTTACCTGGGCAGTCCACATGCCATCCGACATGGACAACGATGGGCTAGGATAAAACTGCTCCCCCCAAATGGTGACCACGGCAACACACAACAATGACAGGACAACATATGAAACATCAGTAACCTGTTTCGCACCTGTCGCAGTTTTTTGCAAAAAACATCTCAAGTAATTATGTCCCAACATCACTTATGGAAAATATATCCATCACATCCGTCAAAGAAATCATGATGCTTCAAGTTTCCGTGGATTTTCATGGTATCAAAAAGCCATCAAAGAAATCTCCGAAGGCCCAAACAACACCTCCCCCCAAGCTCTCCCCAGCGCCGGCACCAAGTCGCCTTCCCTCATGGCCGAACGAAGGGACAGAAAGGCACTGTGCTTCGTCATGAGATCCATCATCCCGGAGGCTAAGACCTGCACCTGCCTGGATAAGGAGAAAGCCATTGGGAAAAACCATGGGGGGGTTCAACATGCACCAATCATGGCTTAAAATGCTGAAAACACCTAAGAATGATGATAGTAAGAACAATATTAATGATGATTATTGATAATTAATCATTGTTGATTGTTTAATGTTGATTGTCTTAAATGGGATACACACGCATATATATATAATCACATGTATATATATATATGGATATATCATCAACAACCATATCATAGATTATTTTAACCAATCAACGTGGGGAGATAGAACCATTTTGAACTGCATAAGGCAATCATTGGAGCTAGGCTGATCTCAGTGTCCATGAGAGATGTAGATCATCTAAGTGCACTCGCAATGCATAGGAGGTTGGTCTTTGGCCATTCTCCAGCTCCTACGATGCTTGTGCGACATCCGACACGTTGGCAGTATGGACAGCAAAACATGTAGTGCCCAAGACAGTGGATATTTCAGAATATCATCTTGACAAATAGGGATGATTGCAAGTGAACCATGTTTCAAACCACAAGCCTTATATGGTGACCATGTAGACAACTGCTGGTAATGACCCGCGGTTTTTGCAGACGAGCGGCTGTTGTAGGGCAATCTGCAGGCGTTCCATGTGCGGATGGTTAAAGCCCATCAGAGTCATGAAAAAACTTTGGATCCCTGGGCAGGAGGTGGCGAGTTTGCTTGGGAAGCGTCAAGTACGAAATGACCTGCCACCAAATAGTACCCACTTTCCATTTCCGTGGCCGTTTGTCCAGCTACAAAAAAAAGTCATGGCCCTGGGTGTAAGGAGGTCATTAATTGACAAGAATGGGTGGTAGCATGTGACACTGTGTATATATATATATATATACATATATATATATATATATACATGTGTGTGTGCGCGCGCATACATGCGTATTACTTTAAACTCAAGCTAGCCTCATAGCAGTGAGTGCATGACTCCAGGCAGTTCCTCAACCGCGTGAACCAATGCTTCAACCCCCCCGCTGAACTCAGTGAACCAATGCTTCTACCCTAGTGAAGCTGCACATCCACGTCCCAACTTCCCAACCCCATTCACCAAAAAACGCTTGGTGAAGGTTGCCAGCAGCTGCGCCATCTGCTGACATGGCTGCGCTTCCTCCGGCGCCTCCCGGAGAGACGCCCTCCGGCCCAACCTGGCGCGGTGCGGGCTGCGTGGCGTGGCGCGAGGATCACCCGGAGCTGGCAGACGCGGCACTTGGGAGGGCGAAGCGCCTCAGAGGCTGGAAAAGTCCTGAGATCCATGGGAAAGGATTTTGTTTGATTTAGGGTGATTTGGGGTAATCTCATGTAATCTCATCATCTTGATATTAACACAACACCCTGTTGAGGGACTCTGATTTGTTTTTTGATCCGCAAAACTAAACCAGTGGTTCGTTTGGATGGTGTTTGATATTAGGACGGGGGGGCACCTCACTTGACAATGTAAAAATCATCAAAGTCAATGGGTACATCATAATAGGTTAATAGTCAATGTCGATCATCAACAGCTGTGGTGGATTTTCCATGTTACATTGTCAAGTTTTAAATGGTCTCATGAGCTCTCATAAGCCATAAAGCAACAAAAACTACTTTCGAAGGTCCAAACATGCAACAGTAAGTTTCAAGCAGCAAGAAACAAGGTTTGCAGTCATTACATGGCACATTCTATGTTCACACATATCCAATCATATCCATACATGAATTCCGAGCTGTTTTCAACAATCCTTTCTCAAGATTTTCAATGGCCATTTCAGGATATGCTCCCATATGTTGTGGCTTTATATGGAACAGTACCTCTATTTTGGGATTCCGAAATGCTGAGATTTCGCCTGTCCCAAGCTGTTCCCGTCACAATTCCAAGGTGAGGCCCCCTCGACGAAGTTGTATCCCCCATCGACCATAGTCAACCAACTTATAAACCAACTTAGCTATGAATAGCTATCATAGATCATAAATCAGCTTCCCAAATTTTTGTTGGTAAAATCACCATGTCCCTATAGTTTCCTATTGTTTTCCCATGGTTGTCTTATTGTTTTCCCGGCCTCACCATGTCGCACCATGTCTAGGGACGATCCATCACAGCCTTCCGTGGTGAGCAGCTTCCAACCCGCACCTGCGCAGCCTCCCGGCGATGCTGACATCTCTTGCCTCAGACGTGGATCTCAATGGTGCAACGAATCTCAATGGACAGTTCTTGGTAATACATATATATATATATCTGTGTGTGCGTTATATAATACAATTATATATCATATATATATTATATATATATATATCACTATATAATATATCAAAGATTCTCCATGGATTCGAGCCTTAGGGAGCTTTTATATGCCAATTCAGCAGCTTCTATCTGCAGGAAATTGTGGGTGCATATTCTGCCAGAAACATACCTGATTCCGCGGGAGAGATGATAGCGAATAACCTTCCAAAATGGTGCAGTTCACCAGCTATTAGATTCAGGCAACAGCAACTGCCTTTTCTTTTCACTTTCCTTGGTATCTACCTCTCATTCCAATAGTGTCACAACTCAGTACGCGCGTAGTATTCACCCATCTTTTGGATTCAAAAAAGCAACCAGTCACATCAAAATCCGTATGCATTGTAATTATTTGTTATATAGTGAACCCCCAGAGAGAGCAGAAAAGTATTCTGCCACTATTCTAGTCAGATTTGACTTTCCTACCCTTAGGAATTGCTATAGAATACAATCCCCTGACCTTCAGCTTTGGTGCATCCGGTCAGCCGCAAGCAGTGAAACTGTGCCAGGTCAGGCAGGGGTCGCAGATCTGCGTCGTCCACTGATGGAGTCTCCAAACCTACGGGAAGCAACTCATGGGCCCCACCCCAAAAAAAAAAACAAAACATACATCATACATTACCCTCTGGTAAACATACAAAAAACGATGGAAAGATCCAACATTTTATAGCTGGGTAAATTTTCACTATTTCGACTGGGCCATGGCTTCAATAGCTTTCTGTAAACGTTTGCCAGAGGGTAAAAGAAAGGAGGGGAATGGATTATTGACACCTTTGGCATCCAACATGAAACATAGTGACATAGTGTCTGGTTGGGAATTTCAGGATCCTAAAATGGAGCTACGTTAGTACCATGGGGATATTCCCTGAAATTTAGGCCTAGTTATGAGATGAGTCAATGGCAATTTCCAAAGGTGAAGTCATTTCACGCACTGTTTTCTGCTGGGTTGCATCATGTTCCCATTCTAGATTTCAGGGCGGTAGCAACCTGGATGGCTCATTGTGTGAAAAGATATATCTTTTCTGGGGGTGACCTACAAGCTCCCGCGGAAAAACAAAGAAACACACTGCATGGAATGTTTTGACCCATGGCATGTCCCAGCCTCGAAGAGTCGTGTAACATAGACATACCCTCTGGTAAACTAACATAACTATGGAAAATCACATTTTTTAATGGGTAAATCAACTATAAATGGGCAATTTTCAATAGATTTTAGTTTACCGGAGGATACATAATATATCATCAAGTATGGGAATGCTCTGTTCATTTTTGATATTAAGCATCCAATTTTAGGGGTATCAAATTTTGGCCCATAGCCATACCGCAATAAAACATCTACCATTGGCCCAAGCAGCCTGTGCTCATGAAGGCGCAGTGTGGAACATGGCGCCCGGGAGGTGGAATGGATCTTGAATCTTGACAAAAAATGGCAGTTGAAACCATGGTGATAGGACATCGCCATTTTTTGTTTCTTTTTTGGACGCTCCCACTGGGTAAAAATATGCAAAAATCCCTCCAATGATGAATAGGATTCACATCCGTGGCCGGTTGCTGAAAAAACTCTTTCACAGCAATGACTGCTTCAGTTCCAATGATATACCACATTATACCACAAGTGATCCACTAGCTTTGCGTGCAGTAGGGGCATAGTTGGGGCAACTATCTGGCAAAGATGCAGCATCTGGGTTCTTTGATACGAGTTTCCCTGTGCTTTCCATCCATCCTCATCAGCATTTACTGATTTTGAGCCTCCCTTCTCAGGAAATTTTCCAGCGACTTGCGGAACTGTCAGGCCCTGTCATCCAAGTCACGACAAGCTGAAACGGAAAAGCACCACAACGACAATTTTTTAATCAGATTGCCTGGTAGGTTTGGACTCTCATGATTCCCCTGAGAAGGGGATTCCAATTCACGACGGGCATGCCCAGAATTCCAAAGCACCGGGCCCCAAATCACCACTTAACCATCACCGGCCCCAAACGGTGCGTGAGCATCTGTCCAAAAGTTTTTGTTAGAGGTGGCTCTGGTTCTTTATGCGCCAATGTTCCAAAGTTTGGCCTTTCTATGCTTCTGATCTGCCCGGAAAAAACAAATTGTAAACATGATGTTCTAAGCCACAGCATTTCAGTGTTCTTCCCAACATTCCTGGATAATCCCGGACTTTGAGTTTGTCAGTCCCTAGTAGCTCTGTCTCTGAGGACAGTAAAATACTGGCAGTCACCAGCAGAATTTTAAGAGCTGGAAATGTGTTTCATCCCACCCCTTCTCCTGCAAAAATCTGAGGTAGTTTTGGATCTATTTTTTTGCGGAACCATATGGGCGGCATTTTCACACTAGGGGAGAAGGGATTCGTTGCAGTTCTTAGTTCAATTCAAAACCATCTGTGCACTTTTGAAAACAGTACCGCGTTCCCATGATGAAGTGCAGCATATTGCACCTCCATTGTCGTTGGTTCAGCTCCTAGAATCAAAACAAAAAAAGAAAGTGTAATATCAATCCCGGATTTTCTTAACCCCCTTCCTTTACTAATTATCTAATTGGGGCTTACCATTTACAGAAAGGACCACATGATTATTTTGGGAACCACCAGGGCACGGCCGGCCTCCTATGCCTCTGAGGCACTGACCCAAGAGCTGGCAGCTTCACAGACACTGAGAATGGCCGCATAGGTGTCGGCCTTGGGCCTATCGAAGATTTGAAAATGGATGTGGCCATATAAATAAAGGTTTTATAAACCCACACACACACACATATATATATGTATATAAATGTGTATATAGCTATTATAAACATGTATATATATATATATATGTATTATATGTATATATACGTATATGTTTAGTATCGTATATATATATATATATGTGTGTGATATATATATATATATAAAAAACACACACGCATATGTATGTATATATATACACACGTCACAAATGGATCTAGATATATTTTTATAAGAAAGTGTATACATGCGTATACAGTGAGAAACATGTAGGTAGAACAGTTTTTTGTTGCAAGAGTTATTCAGTTTTGAGTGATAATTGTAAAATTTCAATATTCTCTCTACTCCAGGATGACCATACAATATAATACAATGAAAATCAACATTGAAATTATACGAAATAATATCGCACGCAAAAAACATAACAAAAAAAACAATCATAATGTGGATGTAATGGGGATATAGCCAAGGCTAAATATACCATGAACAAGTTGATACCTTGCTACGGGCTGCTATCGGAATCAAAATTGGGACACGGAACCACAAAAGGCATGCCTTTTCAGGACGTTCAACCATCCATTTATTGATCATTTGAAAGATTTTGAAACCATAGCCACATTGGGTATCCTGATGTATTCTGTATACCTGGCTGGATGGTTTAAAAAAAACTGGGATTTCAACGTGTTGAAGGCTCCTGGGGAGAAAGTTCGGCTCGTACCATGCGTTTTTGGGGCACCTGCTGGGCTGTAACCAGCCAAAACAGGCAGCGATAAAACAGGATACAACACGTTAAAAGGATACAATCTGAAGGTAGCACCAAAAGAGCAACTGGGAGTTTCCACTCAGTGCCTGAGTAGAGGCTCATTTATGGAGCCTTTTTGCCACAACTCGCCCCTGGTATCCCATCTTCTTGCAAGTACAGCATATGGCTGCCCTGTTACACAGCAAACTCGCTTGGCCTCAAGTACCCGTACCCGTCATACCCTGTCCAAAAAATGATTTTGAGGTTTCATTCCTTGAAACATTAATATCTTTAGAACGACCAGAAATAAGACACCCAACCGGACCAAGATTTACCCATTGAAATGACCACAGATCGAAAGAAAGGTGGTAGGATGATCCCCAGCAACTTCCCAACTGCGCCGGGCCGCTCCCGGCGCCTCAAGCCGTCTCGCACTGCATCTCTGAAGAAGTTCAGAGCCGACCTGGGAGATCAGGATACGTGGTGAGGGATAGATGGGGATTTTTTGTCAGCGTCAATCATGGGTATAAATGCAACCACATAATAAACACGCATATCATGGGGGTTATATCATGATATAGCTGAGGTGACAGCTTGTCAGCATCATCCTCCCAAAGATGATTGAACATGTGGAGATATCAAACTGGGTGCGTCTGAAAACAGGGTATGCATACCGTATGGTATACCTCTTAAAATTCATAGGGGAAATCATGATGACGCACCAAACCCAGGTGGGACTGTCCCCCAAATCTCTCTTTTTTTGGTATCCCCCAGTCGCAAGTGGGACTCGCCCGGGGATCCAGCCGCCAATTGATGCTGCTTCCAAAGGATCGCAACACGATGTTGTTGGTAATTCCTGGGTGGCTGAGCCAGTTGAACCACTAACATAATCGCCATGAACATCATGAAACATCATGAAGATGCATCTCTCTCTCTCTCTCCATCGCCATGGAGATCAGTAGTCAAGCCTTCAGGCGAGTTGGAAAAATATGAAAAAAATGTGCATCAGCCCATTCACTTCATAGGGAGACGATTCAAACAACGACCCAACGACCCGTCAGAACGCGCGCTGGATCATCTTGGGATGTTGATCGTTTTTAGTTGCCACGAATGGAAGCCTTCACAATGGGACTATGTCATACAGCTCGGGACCCCTTATGCAAATCACTAAGGACAACAGATTCCCTCTGGATCGCTCTGGATCCCTCTGGTAATGACTAACTGTTTGCCATGGAACATATGCTTAGTAAATCAAATCATAACTGTATATAATAACATATAATAACTATCAAATCATCAAACGCAATGGGCCATCTTATACCGTAGCGAACTGTGAAATGACTAGGCTGCTTGGATTTGCGATCCACGGGGCCATGGGAAAAAAAAACATGCGCTGGAGATATTAGCAATGGATTCCCAAGTGGATGAACGGTTGGGAACATCAGAACTCATCGCAAATCCAGGATTGTTGTGGTGTTCAAACCCTCTGATGATGTTGGCTTGCCGTAATCCCCAAAAAAAAGTAGGCCCTTAGGAACAACCAAAAAAATAAACTAAGTGACAACCCACGCGCACAGAGCCCACGGCTGAACCCTTTCAACTACGACTCCAAGGCCCTAAAAATCGCACTACACCATCAAATTAAATCCATCAGACCAAGATTTCTCTTACTGGAAATGGATTCCATCATTAATATATATATATATATTGGACAATATATATATATACAATATTGTATTATGTGTGTGAGATATTATGTGAAAATAAGTGAAATGTGATTTACAAGATCATCCAAATTATTGGGCAGTCTTTGGATCACAGTATGCCACGAGTTCTTTGTGCTTTTGTGATCTTTGTGTATTCACAAGTCTGCCGAGAGTCGGTTGGGAAGTACCGCTGTGGAGCGCATGGTGGTCAAATGGTGCAGAGCCTTCTGCCATTCATGGCCCATGGCCAGTGCACTGATCAAAGAGCTGTGCGTGATGATGTTGGGTTCCACAGCCTCGGACAACCTGAAGGCAGTCGCGAATTGAACGGCACCAGGACTTTGAGGTTTCAAAGAAATTGAAATGCGTGGGTTGCTTGATGTTGCTTGGCACATCTTGGAACAAATGACTGTGGTGATTTGTTGCCTCTCGTAGCAGTGCTTGCTGGTAGAGCTTCGAAATCTTCAATCTTTCCAGATTCCATCAATTTTGCTTCAAATCCCCCCTTACCCTCTGGTAATTTAAGATAGCTATTGAACATGGCCCAAAGAAATAGTTGATTGACCGTTCTTAATTAAAGATGGTGATTTTCCACTTCGCAAACTGTGGCAGTTTACCAGAGGGTATATCCACTAACATCATCTAACATCCCTATTAAATCCCTATGTTTACATACGTTTACCATTTTTCATGGAAGAATCCACTTAATATCCCCCATCTCCAGTACGCTCCAAGGCACATCCAGCGCCACATCTCCACCGCGCTCCGCCAGACGCTGGCCGTCGCCGCTTTCGCAACGGCGTTGATGGCGGAGCTGAAGGAGATCACGTCGAAGGCGCTGCGCATGGTGCCGAGGAGCTGCAGGGCTAACCTATTTGGAGCTACCAAGGATGGCACCACGGGAGATCGGAGCTGGAACTCATGTTTTTTTTACACAAACATTTTGTGAAATAGTAGGAATGGAATCAGGCAAAATGTGAGGTTACTGGCAAACATGGGTTAACATTATATATATATACACACTGTATATGCACATGTATGTGTATATATATACATGTGTGTCTATACATATATGTGCAGACACGTATATTTATATCACATTGTTTTGCATTGCATTACATTACATTGCATCACATCCGGTCACAGCACATTAAAGTACATACATGCATACGCTGCTGTGTCACAATAGACGGAAAGGAATGGAAGGGCAAACTCCATCAACATTTTAGGATTATAGGAACAGTATGGAACAGTGGTGTCTTTGGTAAGGCTCCAAACACGACTACCGAACAACTTTGCCGACGATTTTGCCGATTGAACATGCCGGTTGTCTATTGCCAAGATTGGTTATATACCAGATGGTAGCATATGTTTCTTTCAAATCACTTTGAATCCCCATGTTCACTAATGAAGCCACATGTTTCGTGGTGATGCTCAGCCAAATTACTAAATACCCCTCTAGAAACCCAAGTTTAGTATGGGATCATATTGGATCATATGTCATCATATGTCCCTCTCTTCTTTTTGGGGGCCATATTAGGGGTATTTCATTCTCGGGTGAAAGGATTACACCACCGTGCCCGCCGCAAGACAAGGGACTCCCAGCGCCCCGCCCGTTCCGCGGCGCCAATGGCGGCGTTGTAGCGGTAGGTGCTGACCTGCGGCAGCCGCTGACGGCTCTGCCAGAAGAGATGGAGGGCGAGATCCCAGCGGTCAGCGCTACAAGCCTTGGGATGCCGTTTTTCTTGCCAGGGCCTCTCTAAGGTTTCCCTTGATTGTGCCCATGTTCATTCACGGGCTGGCACGCTTCCCAAACGTTTGCCATGGTGATATCATCCCAACCCAAGATGCATAATCATATGGGGTTTTCCATATATACATGTTTGCACATCTATAGGTAAATATACGTATAACTATGTATATGTACTATGAATGTGCATGTGTGGGTGTACGTATCAGTATATGTCAAGTTAAAGAGTAGGCATGTACGCACATACATCTGCATATAAGGGGTTTTTGTATGCGATTATCTCATCAAAGTTCAGCGATCAATACACAGCATTTACGCATACACATAGATAGGTCCTAGGTTTTAAACTTTAAAACTGACTTTGATGCAGTACTAGCCCTTTGGCTAAGTAAGCTCCTGGCCCAGTATCTTGTCTATGGAGAGGGACATGCCTTACAGGGCCACTCCTGGAACATTATTTTTGCGTTTCTTTTTTCAGGAGTAGCGATGTTAGAAGTAGCCCAGGGCACTTTAATGACATAGCAAATGGCACGCGTACAACCAGTAGAGTTTCTACCATGCAAATGGTGGTTTCCAGTTTCCAGTTGTGACTCCAAACCATTCGCGATGAAAACCAGTAGGCTGGCTAGCGCTACCACCAAAATCACTGTTCCAATCCTATGTTTCAATCAGTTTGAGCCACATACATTCCAACCAAAGATGGGAAGCAAGGCTGGCCCGCATAAATGCACTGCATATATCAATCTATAATTATGTGTAATATGTATTATATATATATTATGTATACACATGATATGTGTATTTATGTATAATATGTATATATGTGCCTGTTGGTCATACATACTCTCACATAGACGCGAATCAAAACATCCTTAAAACATACTCCTTGATTTCCATAGTCATCACTTCCTCATCTTACCACGGCGGTCACGTTTCGAGGCTGTCAGCGTTGCCAGTCTTAGATACCCTGCAACAAGCTAGTTGTTTAGCTGGTTAGTATATCCCCGCATCAAAACAACAACAACAACAACAACAACAGCAACAGCAACAGCAACAGCAACAGCAACAGCAACAACAGCAACAGCAACAGCAACAGCAACAGCAACAGCAACAGCAACAACAGCAACAGCAACAGCAACAGCAACAACAACAACAACATGAAGTATCTATTCCCATCCCCCTAATCTTAAATAACCTCCCACGTTGGCCAGAATTTTCATAGATTCAATACCAAGGGTGCTGCCATGCCAGGCCAGGCCACGCTCATCAGGCTGTTGTAGGTGACCTCATCCGGCGAGATGCGGCGCTTACACATGTCATGCAGCAGCTGTAGGGAACACGTCCAGCCATGGCAGACCTGGGTGCTGGTGATGCCAGACGTTTCAGCTGGGTAAAGATGCAGAGATGGAGAGTGAACAAAATGTTTGTCAATATTTTCAGTTAGCTAGTTTTAGCTTAGCTGGGCTAATAGTGAAAAGATGGAGTCAAACAAACCGTTTACCCATCATCTTTTCCTCTTAGCTTGTTTTAGGTGAGCTGGGTTGATAAAGGAACCCATCAAAATCCATCAATATAACTTCCACCAATATATATATATATATATTTATATATATTTATTTATTTAGTGGGAAAAAACAGTTGCGCCAAACCCAATATTTATGGGACATGGATCTTTAAACCAACCTTTTAACAACATATATATATATACATTATATATATATATATATGTTTTTCAAATGGGATTTTGCTAAGTGGATTTACAAAAAACCAAGGGGCTGTGATTCCCACGTTGTAGACAATGACATCGAGCTGCAGCAGCATCTGCTGATGATGCCGCAGGAGCTCCAAGGCTTTGTCCGAGGATTTGCCCAGGGCCGTCATGATCTCAGCGCCGGGGCAGGCGTTCGGAACAGGCCAAACGCGTGGTTTCACCAACAGAAATGGAGACTTCAACCACACAAAAACATGAAAACTGAGATTTTACCAACACAAATGTGTTTCAATGGATTGGCTGAAGGGAAAACAGTGGGGATTCAATGGGGTTATAAGATGTTATAAGATGTTTCAATGGAAATAAATGGGGCATGGGTGTACACACATTTTTTTTTAGTGAACTAGCATCCAATGGAATGGTTCAAGGGAGATCTAGAGGAAACCATGGTTTCGAAATGTCTCCAAATAATATCTGGTTATTTAACATAGCCATGGAACATCACCATTTTTAATAGGTAAATCCTCTATAAATGGGCCATTTCCCATGGCTATGTGAAATAACCAGAGGGTAGAATCAGAAGGGTGTCCAGTAAATTGCCCTTCAAGCAATTTCAAATCCTGGGAAGTGTCCTTCGAAAATGAAGTTCTTGGCTTTGTCCCATAATGACGAACGTGTTTTTTCGAAGGCCCCGTTCTTCACCACTTCCGAACATTTCGATGGTAGATGATTTCTGCAGCCAAAGAGCTTCAGAATGCAGGGTACATCCTACTATCAACTCGCTCTATGTCCCAGCTCGTGGGGGGGCAGCATTTCAATTGCTAGACAAAAAAAACAAACCATGCCACACGTCCAAAAAATGGAAGGATTGTACTGAAACAAATGCACAACACAAGTGTATCACCGTGTTTTTTCTTCAATTATTCGTCTCATTCTCCTGACCATTCTTCCTGTTGCAATTATCAAGCTTGCAATCATTGACATGATTAGCGCGCATGGTGTTATTCTATTTGTTTAAGAGAAAAAACAACTGAGCCATGAAAAATACACTCCCATCTCATTGTCCTGGTTGATTCATAGGTATCCCCATTATGGACAATAATAATCCGCAAGAAAACAGCTAGTACACCCCTAAAATAACCTAAAATAACCCATCAAGAAAGGCATTTTGTTATGGCTTAACTGAGAGAATCATCTATAGGACTCCCAGCTGCAACTGAGCCGCAATGCCCAGCTCTTTGGCTGTGCCAATGGCAGCATTCCCAGCGCCTCGGGAAAACAGCTCCTGCTGCAGATGCCATGGCAACTGACTCTTGCGACCTGCCGAGTCAGGAGATTTGATCAAAGTCTGATGGCAACGGGCCTAGTCCTTGCAAGGTGTCAACGGCATGCACACGGGTAAAAACTCCATCTGCAATCATCCGCATAATTCCATGTATATACTATTATGTATATGTATATATATATATACACACACGTACTTATATTGAATACTTTCCACATATTTCCATTTTTGTTTCACAAACCAATCACCGCCGAAGCCCAGGCATTGCCAGGACCCCTGGGCCTTTCAAGCTCTTCACTTCTTTCAGCAGCTCCTGGAAAGTGAGTGCCATCTCTACCCTCGGCCGCCAGCTTCGCTTGGGAAGTCTCCATGGCAAAAACCGCGACGCTACGCTCGGTTGGTGTGAACGGCGATGGGTGGAAAGGGTGCCATGACCGTGGGGTGAAGAAGTGAATAGGATGGACTGATGGACAACAAAAAACTCCTCCGAACCACTGGTTTGACTTATTTTTCCATTTTTCCACTAGTGGATATAGGCATGTTGGTGGAACTCTTCAAACCGATGACATCCGATGACTGATCTGATAAGCTTTTGGAAAACTTGGCTCTAGCCGAGCTCATAACTCATAGATTCATATAGATTCACCATCCATCCGCTGTTGAATCCCAAGCCTTGTGATATGTGGCGAAAATCCCAGTTCTGAAACGTGCTGTTTGTGGACCCATGTGGGCCCGAACCCCCTTGACATGCACGATTTTGTTCACATGAAAACATGGATTTGGAAGATGGTTGTATATATCTGTATATGCGGTTTTCCTGAAATAGGGGTATCCCCAAATCATCCATGTTCGATTCGCATTTTCCATTGTAAACCATCCATTTGGGGGTACCACCATTTCTGGAAAGCCCTACTGTATATGTTTGGATTGGGCTATACTATATGTACTATATTATATAATGGAAATATCCTATATGAGCCTATATGTGCTATATTAATGGAAAGCCCTTAATATGGTTTTGGCTATATACCGTAGCAGCACATGTGCACAGATCTTGACAGGCCCCCAGGCGGCCAACAGTGCCGCTCCCAGCGAGTCCCAGCTGCCAAAGCCCCCATGTAGGATTCTTGGGAAACATCCATGTCATTAAGTGATATTAAGTGTAGCCTCTGGTGAACATACAAAAAGCAATGGTATAGATGGCTATAGAAATAGTGGATTTTCCCAGCTACAGAATGGTGGATCTTTCCATTGCTTTTTGTATGTTCACCAGAGGGTAGATATATCCAAGATACATGGGTTCTCTGGGAAACGATTTCCGTAATCAGAAATATGTTCACCATAGATTTGTCACAATAGATTCAGTCTGCGGCCTGCGGCGGCTTTGCCACAGTTTTTGGATGTTTTTTTGGGTATGACATTTGGTGACGCTCGTGCGATCGACGAACAGCTTTCACAAAGAATATGTCTTTTTGTTCCACCTGTCTTGCTTCAGACGTGGCAGGGAGTACTCTTTGTAGCATGGCCAGAGCTGTTGCTAATTGATATTTCTGTGAGACATGTCGCAATGCAAATTTCGCTTCATTCTACGCCCAGTTCTCTCGGTCACAAGAATTCATGGCCGGTTCTGCGTCCTCGGGGGCACCAGCCGTAATTCAAAATGGAAAGGGAGATCCGCAGCAAAATTTCAGGCATTTTCGCTCTAGAAGCAACTATTTGAGGATATTTGAGGCCTTGCCCATCACTTAACCCTCATTTCAATTTTCGTGGTTATTCCAACAAAAAAAAGGGGAAATGAAGGAACCCTTGAGAACTGAGAACACAGCAGGGTCGCCTCCTCGAGAAACGAGGATCAAGTTCAACAACATTTAGATCCCCTGGATTCGATCCCCTAAGCAAAAAAAATCTATCAGAATCAAAAGTTTAAAGTACCAAACTACCAAAAAGACTAATAAACACAACCTATCTATACCTATCTCCTCAGGTACGTCAAGGTTTAGCATCCTTCAAACCAGAGGCATTCTGACTGTCCAACACCCCTGGACGAGACGGAAAATATTCAGGACTACCACTCTGAAGGTTGAACTGCTGAAACTGTGGCAAAGGCGTGCCAAAGCCAAGTATCTGAAAATAAGTCAAGAAACAAATGGTCTATCTATCTATCTATCTATCTGCCTATCTATCTAATCTAATCTATTCTAATCTAATCTGTTCTAATCTAATTTGATCTATTCTAATCTAATCTATCTATCTAATTCTATCTCATTCTATCTAATTCTATCTCATTCTATCTAATTCTATCTAATTCTATCTCATTCTATCTAATTCTATCTAATTCTATCTAATTCTATCTGATTCTATCTAATTTTATCTAATTCTATCTAATTCTATCCATCTATCTATCTACCTACCTACCTAGCAAACTAACTAACTATCTAAGTAACTATCTAACTAACTAGCTAACTAACTAACTAGCTAATCAGCCATCCATCCTTCCATCCATCCATCCATCCATCCATCCATCTGGCCATCTGGCCATCTATCCATCAAGTCCTCAGGCCCCAATCTTTTCCCCCTACCAGGTCGATCTGTCAAGGCACGTGCCCTGCAGGTAGGTGGTAAATTTGAGAGGCACCAGGCGGCCCCACCTTTTTGGCGTCCCCACCCGGCAGGTGACCCCAGCTACGCAGGTAGTGGGAAGACATGGGAATCATAGCATTCAACTTGCCAATGATATGGGCGTTTCAATGCGTTTTATGAATTTGAAAAACATTAGAAAGGCGACCCCTTCCAATAGTGAGGGATTAATAAGAGCGTACCAGCCCCCAACCACCACTTTTATAACGGCTCATTACTCTTAAATTCTATTAGGTGATCCAGTTGGGCAGTGCGAACTGTCAACTGGAGAATCTATAAAATCATAGTCGGTTTTCATGGGGATTTCCCCTTAGATATGATAATACTTGACATCAGCCATTTTTTTTGGAGTGCTCAGGTATGGGAATAGACCAAAAAAAGTGGCTGGTCTCCGTGAGCCATAGCCTATTCTTCCAGAGTTGCAACCTGAGTTTGCCAGAAAATCGGTTGGGGTACCCTGGCGCGGATACTCCGAAAAATCCATGGTGACCAACAGCATTTCTCCGTTGCCAATTCTCAGGCGCCCCATCTATCTTGGGATGAAACTAGTTCATGCCTAGTCCATCTATCTATGATATATTTCGCCCATAAAAATGGCAAACATCAACCCACCTACCCAAGGTTCAGATTTGGAGGTTCCCCCAGGCCACTAACCTTCGGGGGCCACCAGGTCGGCTGATCCGAGCCTTGGATGCCAGCCATGCGAGTCATCAACCCCTCCTGCCAGCTGCCTTTCTTCACCACCTGGCGGACGGGGCTCTGTAGAAGAACTCCAACTGATGAAGGATGTACTCCAACTGATCTACTTCATGATTCTAGTACAACACTGAAGTGATCGGAAAGTTGTATTAAAGCTATTCAACTACTCTTCCGGTCGGTTTACCCAGTCACATGGAAATTGACGCTGTTTGAAGCAGTGACAATGTATGATACTGCAACACTAAAGCAACACCCCCAATTACTGGTTGAATAGGAATCCGGGGTTGAAATTGCCAGACAAAAGACAATATCTTCTCATGATGTGACCATTCATTGTTGGTCATATCGTTTTGCACTTATACTTATTCCCTATATTTTGGCTACACCACTATTCCGAATATTCCCTGATTTTTTGTTGTTATCAAAGAATCACATTCTTATGCATTCACACCTGACATTGCCTAACATCATATCATATCAGCAAATGCTATCCATTTGTGAGAAACATATAATTAATATTCATATACAACCATTTCGTATATGGATATATATATATATATGGATGACAATATACACATCCAATGATATCTTGTATGGAAACATCCTATGATCCAATCTTATTTCCATATACATCACAGCCATGCCCATGTCGCCATATCAATGCTTTTCGACCTCGCATAGCACCCGTCGGGGCTCCCCCACCTTTTTGCACTGCTTTTGGGGTGACATGTTCGCGGAAGAATCAAGGTGTTTTGTGGGCAAAACAAAATCAATTCCGGGAAAATATGGATTAAAATCAGGTGTTTGTTTGTTAAATCCAATCTTAGCGGGCACATTTTTTGAAAACCAACTAGAACTTGAGAGTTAACCAACACAAATTGGGAGTTAAGCAACAAACAATGGGAGACAATGGAGTACAAACAAGAAGATGGGGTAGCCGGATATGTCTGAAAAATGGGATGCCCATAGTTTTTCTATCATAGGAAAATATGATAATGCTTGGATTTTGGGGTACCCTGGAAATACAGGTTGGAATCCTACAAATGGGCTCCGCACAACCTTGCGGTGTCTCATGTAGGTCCACAAAAAGGAACCCTTTGAAGTAAATAAACTCTTTGAAACTGCCCAACCAGTGTCCATTCTGAAGCACCCGAGCGGAAGGCCAGCACTTTTGGTCACCCGATGGCTACCCTTCTGTTTAATCTTCCTGTCTCAGCTGTATCTTTCCACAGGGCACCCAGTAAACCCATGCACCTTAAGGCACCGCATCTGGATGCATGCTTTTATTGATTGGTGTGCTGAATTGTGCTTATCTTTTTTTTTCGAACACCTATTGATGTATTATGATGTATTTATGCTAAGTTCGTTGATAATTCACTTATATGTCGATCTTGTTTGACTGATCTGAATACATTATCGTAATTCACCGACATTACTGTGAGGTCATCATCCATCCAAATGGCTATTTTCTAGTTGTTCCCCTTAAAGAGAAAAGGACGTGACAACGACAGTCCGACCACTTCCAGTCCGAGTCCGCGAATCCTCTGGGAGGTCGCACGCACTCCACATGTGACTGACAGACGGGATGCTTCACCATCTCCTGGGGCGTAGCGCCGTAGTGGTGATGGTTACCCTCCTTGGAGATGGTCATATTCCATAGCAAAAAAATACTTCACTTCGAATGATCCCCACCATGACATTTATACAATTTTATACATTTTCTTACTGGCAAATCTTCTGGCATTCTATCTGACATACCTTCTGGCATTCTATCTGGCATATCTTCTGGCATATGTTCTGGCATATCTTCTGGCATTCTATCTGGCAAATCTTCTGGCATTCTATCTGGCATATCTTCTGGCATTCTATCTGACATTCTATCTGGCATATCTTCTGGCATTTTTTCTGGCATTCTATCTGGCATATCTTCTGATATTCTATCTGACATATCTTCTGACATTCTTTCTGGCATATCTTCTGGCATTCTGTCTGGCATATCTTCTGACATTCTTTCTGACATTCTTTCTGGCATTCTATCTGGCATATCTTCTGACATTCTATCTGACATCTTTTCTGACATTCTTCCCGTTGAGGTCCGGCAGTGCCCAATGCGATCTGGAAGTCACGGTTGAGGTCCGGCAGTGCCCACTGCGATCTGGAAGTCGCGGTTGAGGTCCGGCAGTGCCCACTGCGATCTGGAAGTCGCGGTTGAGGTCCGGCAGTGCCCACTGCGATCTGCAACTCGCGGTTGGGGTCCGGCAGTGCCCACTGGGATCTGGAGCTCGCGGTGGAGGTCCGGCTGTGCCCACTGGGATCTGGACTGCGAGGAGGAGGCGGAGGAGGAGGAGGCGGATGCGGAGGCGGAGGAGGAGGAGAACAGCTCTGATAAAATCTAACAACCCTCACCTGGCAGGTGGGGAATTAAAAAAAAAAAGCTACCCAGTTGGTTGGGGATGTTGACCCCCATGAGTTGTTGTTTTTTTTGGCCTCAGGGTCTATGTTAAAATTAGCAGAGGCTTTTTTGGAGATGGGGTTCTATGAAAATTCAGGGACAAAATTCCCATACGATAAATGGGGAAATCCTATTGCAGATAGCAAAACCCCACATCATTACTGTAATAGCAATTTTAATGGACATTCCTAAAGGTTCATGAGTAAAATTGATATTTATGTAAGGGGGAATGCGCCGTTTTTCACATGCCATTTTCAGACACACCCAGGTTGAATTTGGTCACCAAAAATGCTGAGTTGCTGAAGTCACACGTATGCATTAGATGGACACAAAAATCATTGGAAAACATTAATCTGGTTTTGGCTGGTCGCAGTGGTCATGATGGATCACGGTGAAGGGAAATGGAGCAGTTCACATGAAAACAATCTGGCATGCGAGAAATTCCCTAAGGGCCAAAGGAGCCTCAACAGCTTTCAGTGGGGCAAATCATCTTCTCAGATTCAATTTCCTTATCTCTTGCCGACCTTCCATCTGGGGCCCAAAAAAAGGGGTATACCGGGTATACCCCAAGCGACGATCACCCCGATCACCCTAGGTTTTTGACTCTGGATAGCATTTGCTGATTCATATTGTTGGGTGTTGCATTGTGTTGTATTCCAGTATATCCCCAAAGTTGGTTGTAGTATATGTTGATTCCAGTATATTCCCAGATTCGCCAGTATAGTTGGTCAAATTCCCGTTTTTGCTGATTTTATATACCACCACATTTCTCTCTAATGTGCCACCAAGTGTCGAACTCGCCTTCCTCTGGTAGGGTCATCACTCGAGGCATGCAATCCTGCAGGGTGTTCAACCCATTCACTTAAGGATAAATGATTAATTAACACTCTGTCACCATATGCCATAACCATCAATCTGGATATAGCATTTTTTTATGATTTTTTTTTGACAATTCAATACAATTCACCAACCTGAACTTTAATGAAACGTCCGGTCATTTTGGAATGAATCCCCGTTTCCCTCTCCCGTCGAAGGGAGACATCGTGGTGAAGTCGCAAAGATTACCCGGCCTGGTAAACATGCAAAAAAAACTATGGAAAATCACCATTTTTGATGGGTAAATCAACATAAATCAACTATACATGGCCATTTTCAATAGCTATGTTAAATTACCAATGGTAAGCACCATCAAAGATCATCAAACCTGATTACAGTCCGAGCTTTCAAAAGTTCCAATGCGGCACCTTCGAAGGGGTCATTGGGTACGGAACAATGCTGGACAATTTGCTGCTGAGCGCCAAGGGTTCATGATTCTTTAATGCATAATTCCTACCTGGAAGATGGATAAGTACATATGGAACACGGAGAGCATTTCTATCCTGAGCCATTGGATAGGTAGCGCGGGATGCCAGCCCACACAAAGTTGGCAACTCTTGCATACTTCTGAGGTTCAAATATGTGCCACGTGTGTTTGGTACCTGGCGTATAGGTTTCACATTTTCACCTAGCAATTCGTTTAGGTTGGATTTGCTCGGACATCGAGTTATCCAACTCTCTTTTTATCGTCCAAATCTCAAATCGGAAGATGACGCCGTCATGAATGTTTCCTTAGAAATGGGCATATGATGGCATATGCATCTCGAATGTCAAGATGTCTCAAAATCCTGCAGAAAATGGCGCCACGTTCCCCCATCAGGTCCTCCTCCCTTGGCTTTCCACATTTTGACCAACACTTCTCCTAAGCCCCGGCAGTATCCCAGAGATTTTCCCGCCAATCCAGTGATGGAACATTTCACCACTGGAATTGGGTTCCCCTGATGGTTCCAAGTTGAACATCTCTAGCGGATGAATCCCTTCCGATGATTTGCGGCCGTATTAAATCGTCAAATCCTATGGAACTCGAATGATCATGCCCATTATTTAATGTTGTCGAGATAGCCGTTGGGAAAGATAAAGCCAGATTCATATCTGGCATACACACACAAGGTGCATAATATATATATATATATACATGCAACATACCATTTCGACATGCATCTTCAGATAGATCAAGCAAAAATACTTAAAGCAACCCCCACAAAGAGAGAAACGTAAAGTTACATGCTAAGTGTAAAATAGTGAGACTATATACCTGTTTTTCCTCTTTTTTTTTGTTTGGGGGGGCGGTTACTGTACGGACCCCATGGTCATTGCCCGAAACAGCGCCAAGGCGCGCCCTCGTACAAGACGCCGGGCCTCAAATCTTCGCAGAGGGGCACCTGAGGCGAGGCGAGCTAGAAAGTCTGATGAGAATCTACTAGGAAACTTGACCCAAACCACTGATATTATGTCATATTATGTCATATGGAAAGTGAATGAAGAGATCTGGAATCATGATGATATTGCATCATGGATGCACATGCGTATGAGTGTGCAGTATGTACAATATGTGTATATATATATATATGTGATACTTATTTGAATAATATGTGTGGGGTGCGGTTTGATAAACTCAAACCGAAGCTTGCTTGGGCGAGTGCGACTACCCTTCATCATCAAGGCATCACCGTGGCGTGGCAGGAAAGCCTGGTATAGCCTGGTATAGCCTGCATTTCAGGGGCCCTGAGCATTGACCAAACTTTCATGGATACAGTGCAACAGCAGTGACCAAACTTATCCCGATTTTCATGTCAATGCGCCAATGCTTCAATGATACCAATGATACCAATTTGTGAATTAAATGACAACAATTTGACCACGCTCAGGCAACTCGTGACTTATCTGCCAATATACTAACTCCAACCCCCTGCGCTTCCCTGGTGCAACCCGTGGCAACTTACATTCCCAATCTTAGAGGCCCTGCCAGTTTTCAATATTTTTATTTAACCTTTATCATAATTATAGTTATAATTCTAATTATAACTATTATCATTATTTACATTATATATACATATATTTATATACATATATACCTAGGCCTGCCGGCTGGGTAAAATTTCTTCCGCCAGCCCAGGCTAAAAGAAATATTGTCGCTTCAGAAATTTCTGCCGTCTCAGCCAAAAACTTCCGTTTCAACTGTTTGGCGGGATTCCTGCAGGGTCAGCTGCCATTCTTGCATTTTTCGCACTTTTCTGATATTCACACACCCTGGAGAACATTGGCAGATATGTAGCATGTCAAAGTCCAAATATGAATGCATTGAAAACAACCAACATAATTTACGCCGTTTGGTTGGGAATTTATGCCGTTTCAGTTTCTCACTTTTTCGGTGGGGGTTTTCAAGGTGGACACAGGAGTTATGCGTTCTTCATGCGGCGAAAGTCTCCTCCACACCTGTGGAATTGACAGAATCCCATTCCACTCAAAACATCACAATTTGCTGGAACCATCCAAAATGCAAAAACTTTCGTCTCATCAAAAAAACTCCGTTTGAGGGTTGAAACCTACTAAAGTTAATTTTTCACCAACCATAAATAATTATTGCTGCCCCCGGTTGTTCTAGGTATGTATATATATATATATCTTATTTATATATATATATTATTTATATATATATATATATTATTTATATATATATATATTATATATATATTATATATATTATATATATATTATATATATATTATATATATATATATTATATATATATATTATATATTATATATATTATATATATATTATATATATATATATCGGCTAAAGAACTAAACAATCCACGGTCAGGCCTGTTCCCTCTGTTGTATTTCCTGAGGCGCTGCTGGAATCATCCGCTGAAACCAGTGAAAAGTATTCGGAACGTTCAGTGAACACAAAAAGGTGAACAAAACCAACTGGTTTAGAACCATTTTATGCAATATGCACCAGCTCGTTGGATCTTTCGCAAACTTACATCCGAATATCCTGCAAAAAGTCACGGAATATACAACAAACATATTTCTAGCTGGGTAGTCTACATCCCCATATCAAAACATGAAGTTGATTGAAGTTGTAGTAAATTACCCTTCCACTCGGCTTCCCATTCAAATCGTCTCAATACCTTTCTGCCAAGATTCATAGCCAAACCTTTTTTTCTCCTTCATCTCTGGCGGATACCATTTTCCGTACCTCTGATATGTGCAGATCAGGTGGCGATCCCTGGGGCCCTGGGTCCCAACAGTTACATGCCATGGGGAGATAAACCCTCATACTCTGCTTCGAACAAAGTAGTCTCAGTATCATCATCATTGGGTTTCAATGGATTGGTCTAATGGAAAATCCACAGGAAACTCATCAAACCATAGGTTTTCCCATTAAATATGGGGCTTTCCTGTAAACTGGTTGGTGGTTGACCTACCCCTCTGAAAAATAATTATTAGTCAGTTGGGATGATTATTCCCAATATATGGGGAAACATGTTCCAAACCACCAACCAGTAAATTTTCCTTTAAACCGATCCATTGAGGATTAGGTCTCGGGTCTTGTAGCAAGCTCAAGAGCTGGGCCCAGCTACGCCAAGCGATCCGGTCGATTCCGTTCGGAAGGTGATGGCGTTCGAGATCGTGATTCATTCCAGGCCCTCAAAAAATTGAATAAGGCCCTTGGAAACCATAGCTAGGTATTGGATCGCTCTGCATTTTCTCTTCCCAAGACTTGGGAATATTTAATCTCTGCGGGAAGGGGTCACCCTCTGGCAATTTGACACAACTATGGGACATAACAATCTTTCATAGGCAAATAATCAAACTAAATTGGCCATTTTGTGCCATGTTCCATAGCTGTGCTAGATTGCATGAGGGGTGCAATAACAGTAACCCTCCGGTGTCATCAAACGTGGCCAGTTGGAAAATCTACGCGGTAAAGAGGTTTATAGCCGGGAAACCATCAAATTGAACTTGCCATGTTCCATTGCTGAGCATATAAAAGTGGCGTATAATCCATGAATATCCCATATATAGATATACAGTATATATACAGTATATATACAGTATATATACAGTACATATACAGTATATATATATAATGTTATTGGATTGTTTTGATAATGATTATGATTTTTATGTGTCATTGTATTATTACTACTATGATTAAATTATGTATATATATATTATGACAGAACAGTTGCACAGAACTGGAGGCCAACAAATGGGAGATCCACCATCCATAGGCATCCGGGCTGATGAAAGCTCGTGGATCTTGAGGACGTCGCTGCCTGCCAGTTCTTTCCCAAGGCGCCCAGTGGGCGCCCAGAATGGTCGATCATCAATTTACACGCAGGCGCACAGATATGCGTATGCATATGTAAATTTTGTAAATATATATATATATTTATTTATTTATTTATTTATATATTCATATTCATATAAAACAAATATATCAAATATATTCTTACAATTTCTTACATATGCCGAATTTGATTAAAATTGCATGTTTGGTCCTTGATTCCCTATTGGCTGGACACCCGCATTGGCTGAAGGAGACCTCCGCATCTTCCCATAAATGACGAAGTCACCGACCGCTTCGGAGCAAGATGTACAAAGATGTACTTAAGTATCGTCATTTATCGTCATTTATGTAATTTTGTGTGCATAATGACATGTGTATACATGTGTTGCATAAGTGTGCAGCATTGACTTTTGCAGTCTTTTTGTACAAGGACAGCGCCCAGTTACGACCGGCAAATCCAAAGGGAAAAACAAATTAAAGGAAGCTTGAGGGAGATGATGGGAGATGTAAAGGGGAAGCGTGAATGGGAGCTTCAAGAAGGGGCTTCAAGTTTCTGCTACTTGCCTAGTACAGTAATTGCAAGTGATTTTTTTGTGTGAGATTGAGCCAGCCAACCCCTTTTTACCGATACAAATGCCTTCCGTGTCTTCACCTTTTTTTGGTGCACTGGCCATTTACAGCAACTCGCAACTCCCCAAAAGATAGAACAAGTAGAATCCGACTGAAACACTGAATTGTTCTCCTATCCGATACCGTTTTTTTTTTAATATATATATATTAGGGTGTCGCTCTACCACGTTTTTGAGGGGTCTCTTTAGAGCCTATGTCTGCCTCCATTTTCTGCATTGCTGCTCCCTTAACTTTCTCCATTTGCTGCATTACTGCTCCCTTAACTTTCTCCATTTTCTGCATTACTGCTCCCTTAACTTTCTCCATTTTCTGCATTACTGCTCCCTTAACTTTCTCCATTTTCTGCATTACTGCTCCCTTAACTTTCTCCATTTTCTGCATTACTGCTCCCTTAACTTTCTCCATTTTCTGCATTACTGCTCCCTTAACTGTCTCCATTTTCTGCACTACTGCTCCTTTAACTTTCTCCATGTTCTGCATTGCTGCTCCCTTAACTTTCTCCATTTTCTGCATTACTGCTTCCTTAACTTTCGCCATTTTCTGCATTACTGCTCCCTTAACTTTCTCCATTTTCTGCATTACTGCTCCCTTAACTTTCTCCATTTTCTGCATTACTGCTCCCTTAACTTTCTCCATTTTCTGCATTACTGCTCCCTTAACTTTCTCCATTTTCTGCATTACTGCTCCCTTAACTTTCTCCATTTTCTGCATTACTGCTCCCTTAACTTTCTCCATTTTCTGCATTACTGCTCCCTTAACTTTCTCCATTTTCTGCATTACTGCTCCCTTAACTTTCTCCATTTTCTGCATTACTGCTCCCTTAACTTTCTCCATTTTCTGCATTACTGCTCCCTTAACTTTCTCCATTTTCTGCATTACTGCTCCCTTAACTTTCTCCATTTTCTGCATTACTGCTCCCTTAACTTTCTCCATTTTCTGCATTACTGCTCCCTTAACTTTCTCCATTTTCTGCATTACTGCTCCCTTAACTTTCTCCATTTTCTGCATTACTGCTCCCTTAACTTTCTCCATTTTCTGCATTACTGCTCCCTTAACTTTCTCCATTTCTGCATTACTGCTCCCTTAACTTTCTCCATTTTCTGCATTACTGCTCCCTTAACTTTCTCCATTTTCTGCATTACTGCTCCTTAACTTTCTCCATTTCTGCATTACTGCTCCTTAACTTTCTCCATTTCTGCATTACTGCTCCCTTAACTTTCTCCATTTTCTGCCTTACCTTTCTCCATTTTCTGCATTACTGCTCCCTTAACTTTCTCCATTTTCTGCATTACTGCTCCCTTAACTTTCTCCATTTTCTGCATTGCTGCTCCCTTAACTTTCTCCATTTTCTGCATTACTGCTCCCTTAACTTTCTCCATTTTCTGCATTACTGCTCCCTTAACTTTCTCCATTTTCTGCATTACTGCTCCCTTAACTTTCTCCATTTTCTGCATTACTGCTCCCTTAACTTTCTCCATTTTCTGCATTACTGCTCCCTTAACTTTCTCCATTTTCTGCATTACTGCTCCCTTAACTTTCTCCATTTCTGCATTACTGCTCCCTTAACTTTCTCCATTTTCTGCATTACTGCTCCCTTAACTTTCTCCATTTTCTGCATTACTGCTCCCTTAACTTTCTCCATTTTCTGCATTACTGCTCCCTTAACTTTCTCCATTTTCTGCATTACTGCTCCCTTAACTTTCTCCATTTTCTGCATTACTGCTCCCTTAATTTTCTCCATTTTTTGCATTACTGCTCCCTTAACTTTCTCCATTTTCTGCATTACTGCTCCCTTAACTTTCTCCATTTTCTGCATTACTGCTCCTTAACTTTCTCCATTTTCTGCATTACTGCTCCCTTAACTTTCTCCATTTTCTCCATTTGCTGCATTACTGCTCCCTTAACTTTCTCCATTTTCTGCATTACTGCTCCCTTAACTTTGTCCATTTTCTGCATTACTGCTCCCTTAACTGTCTCCATTTTCTGCATTACTGCTCCCTTAACTTTCTCCATTTTCTGCATTACTGCTCCCTTAACTTTCTCCATTTTCTGCATTACTGCTCCCTTAACTTTCTCCATTTTCTACATTGCTGCTCCCTTAACTTTCGCCATTTTCTGCATTACTGCTCCCTTAACTTTCGCCATTTTCTGCATTACTGCTCCCTTAACTTTCTCCATTTTCTGCATTACTGCTCCCTTAACTTTCTCCATTTTCTGCATTACTGCTCCCTTAACTTTCTCCATTTGCTGCATTACTGCTCCCTTCTGCATTACTGCTTCTTAACTTTCTCCATTTTCTGCATTACTGCTCCCTTAACTTTCTCCATTTTCTGCATTACTGCTCCCTTAACTTTCTCCATTTTCTGCATTACTGCTCCCTTAACTTTCTCCATTTGCTGCATTACTGCTCCCTTAACTGTCTCCATTTGCTGCATTACTGCTCCCTTAACTTTCTCCATTTTCTGCATTACTGCTCCCTTAACTTTCTCCATTTTCTGCATTACTGCTCCCTTAACTTTCTCCATTTTCTGCATTACTGCTCCCTTAACTTTCTCCATTTTCTGCATTACTGCTCCCTTAACTTTCTCCATTTTCTGCCTTACTGCTCCCTTAACTTTCTCCATTTTCTGCCTTACTGCTCCCTTAACTTTCTCCATTTTCTGCCTTACTGCTCCCTTAACTTTCTCCATTTTCTGCATTACTGCTCCCTTAACTTTCTCCATTTTCTGCATTACTGCTCCCTTAACTTTCTCCATTTTCTGCATTACTGCTCCCTTAACTTTCTCCATTTTCTGCATTACTGCTCCCTTAACTTTCTCCATTTTCTGCATTACTGCCCCCTTAACTTTCTCCATTTTCTGCATTACTGCTCCCTTAACTTTCTCCATTTTCTGCATTACTGCTCCCTTAACTTTCTCCATTTTCTGCATTACTGCTCCCTTAACTTTCTCCATTTTCTGCATTACTGCTCCCTTAACTGTCTCCATTTTCTGCACTACTGCTCCCTTAACTTTCTCCATGTTCTGCATTGCTGCTCCCTTAACTTTCTCAATTTTCTGCATTACTGCTTCCTTAACTTTCGCCATTTTCTGCATTACTGCTCCCTTAACTTTCTCCATTTTCTGCATTACTGCTCCCTTAACTTTCTCCATTTTCTGCATTACTGCTCCCTTAACTTTCTCCATTTTCTGCATTACTGCTCCCTTAACTTTCTCCATGTTCTGCATTGCTGCTCCCTTAACTTTCTCCATTTTCTGCATTGCTGCTCCCTTAACTGTCTCCATTTTCTGCACTACTGCTCCCTTAACTTTCTCCATTTTCTGCATTGCTGCTCCCTTAACTTTCTCCATTTTCTGCATTACTGCTTCCTTAACTTTCGCCATTTTCTGCATTACTGCTCCCTTAACTTTCTCCATTTTCTGCATTACTGCTCCCTTAACTTTCTCCATTTTCTGCATTGCTGCTCCCTTAACTTTCTCCATTTTCTGCATTACTGCTCCCTTAACTTTCTCCATTTTCTGCATTTCTGCTCCCTTAACTTTCTCCATTTTCTGCATTACTGCTCCCTTAACTTTCTCCATTTTCTGCATTACTGCTCCCTTAACTTTCTCCATTTTCTGCATTACTGCTCCCTTAACTTTCGCCATTTTCTGCATTACTGCTCCCTTAACTTTCTCCATTTTCTGCATTACTGCTCCCTTAACTTTCTCCATTTTCTGCATTACTGCTCCCTTAACTTTCTCCATTTTCTGCATTACTGCTCCCTTAACTTTCTCCATTTTCTGCATTACTGCTCCCTTAACTTTCTCCATTTTCTGCATTACCACTCCCTTAACTTTCTCCATTTTCTGCATTACCACTCCCTTAACTTTCTCCATCAAGTCAAGGGCAAAGTCTGGGACCGTAAGCTACCAAAGCCAAAATGCTATGCCGAATTTGGTGAAACGATTTCGAGTCCCCAAATTGGCCCCCAGGGGCCCCATTACTGCTCCCTTAACTCCCCCCAGTTAAGGGAGCAGTAATGGAAAAAGTTAAGGGAGCAGTAATGCGAATTAGGTTGTAAAAACCATTACTGCTCCCTTAACTCGCTGCTCCCTTAACTCCCGCAGTTAAGGGAGCAGTAATGGAGGTTTTGGGGTCCGTTTGGGGGTCCAAAATTCGCCAAAAATCCATGATTTCGAGCCCCTAAATTGGCCTCCAAATTGGCTTCCAAATTGGCCCCCAGGGGCCCCATTACTGCTCCCTTAACTCCCCCCAGAAGGGAACAGCAAAGGGAGCAGTAATGGAAAATTAAGGGAGCAGTAATGGAAAGTTAAGGGAACAGTTAAGGGAGCAGCAATGGCAAGTTCAGGGAGCAGTAATGGAAAGTTAAGGGAGCAGTAATGGAAAGTCAAGGCAACAGTTAAGGGAGCAGTAATGGAAAAGGGAGCAGTAATGGAAAGTTAAGGGAGCAGTAATGGAAAGTTAAGGGAACAGCTAAGGGAGCAGTAATGGAAAATTTAAGGGAGCAGTAATGGAAAGTTAAGGGAGCAGTAATGGAAAGTTAAGGGAGCAGTAATGGAAAGTTAAGGGAGCAGTAATGGAAAGTTAAGGGAACAGTTAAGGGAGCAGTAGTGGAAAGTTAAGGGAGCAGTAATGGA